CACCACCACCAACCGCCACCACCACCCGCCGCCACCACCCGCCGCCACCACCCGTCATCTGCCACCCACCTGCCACCACCACCACCACCACCACCACCCACTCGCTACCACCCACCACCCGCCACCATCACCCATCCACCCACCACCACCAACCGCCACCACCACCCGCCGCCACCACCCGCCGCCACCACCCGTCATCTGCCACCCACCTGCCACCACCACCCACTCGCTACCACCCGCCACCGTCACCACTTTCCACCACCGTCTTCCTCCGCCACTTGCCATTTCTCACTTTTTTTTATATTTTTAAATTTTTTAAAACATTTTTTCAATTACCAAACGCATTTGTAGTTTATGTTTTTCTAAAAATAAACAAAAGCCAGTTTATAAATTTTTTGTAAATATAAACTGAAAACGTAAACGTTACCAAACATACCCTTTGATTTCATGTTTGTTTTGAAACTTGTTTCAAATATGTACCACTTGAAAAAATGATCTCATATGCACATTTGATCAAATTATTTTAATTCAAGCAATTAGCCTTCATCCACATGCATTCAAGAAATTTATCACTTAAGCACTTAGCCTCATGGTAAGCATACTAGACATGGCAACAATCACACTTATGCGATATGCAAAAGTACAAAAATGCTCACCTCGTGCTCCAAGGCATGACTAATGCAACACATGCGATATAGTGCAACTAACATGCTCAGCTACTAATTATGACATGTAAGTCAATTTGATAACATGAGGTTTAAACACGTATTCAACAAAGTATGTAAACTACTATGCTTTGTTAGAATGATGAACCGAGCTTTGATGCATGTAAGACAAGTGGATGCAAATCATGGAGTATGCTAAAAGAAACATGATGTTCTACACTATCCATCGTAAGCGGATAAATAAAATGAAGAAAGATGTGGGGTTAGAAGACATGCACATTATTACATCTTGGCCTTTGCGCAAGAGGGTCTGAATAAATAGACTAGCTAATTAATTACGTAATTAACTAACTATTACAAACTAAAATAAAATAAATTAGCTAAGCTACTTAACAAATTATTATTACAACAACAAAGTTAACTAACTATTCTAGCTAATTAGTTACAAATCCACTACTTCAAGCATAACATACTAATATTACAACATCACTTCACAGATCCCAAGACTCAAGGGATGGCTCATGAGTGGATGTGGATTTCTACCCAAAAAAACTCTTCGTTTTGCTACTGGAATGCCTTTGTTGCACAATTAGAAAATTGCCACTGCTTTGCTCTGCTGGAAAAAGGACACTGCCTGCCTGGGAAAAGTGGCCTGTAACCCAGAAGTAGTGGTCGGCCACCCACTAAAAGTGGGTTGTCGTCCAGTAAAAGTGGTCTGCTGGCCACTAATGTTGTTTTTTTTCCTACAGCAACAGAGGACAAACAGAGCACAAACCAAAGTATTCTAAGACAATGTTTGTCCACCATGCCTCTCTTTATTAACAAACAGGTCAAATGAGAGATAAGCTTGGTTCGCAAGCTATCAATCGACGCAATTTCATTGAGTGACGACTTATGAACCAAGGGACACAATTTCAATAAATGGTAAGAAAAGAGTAACCAAAACCTCCACCCTATCATAGATTTATCAAGATAAGTGGTTAACCTTGGAAATTTGAACCATTTCATCATTAGCAAGTATGAAATGACCCAAGTTTTCATGTGTTCAATTAACGTCCAATTGAACACTAAATTGCTTTATTATCTTACATCACTTTTAGTCTCAATTTTGTTACTTCATTCCAATTACCATCAATTCATTAGTTCATTTAAGTCTAATAATGAGCTTTAAGTCCTCTAATGGAAAAGAGCATCAAACAAAGAGTTGTTTTGGGCATAAGAAAAACACCATGCAATTGGTAATGAACCTCCAAAGGGATTAAACCATTAAGCATGATACCTCTATCTCAAGCTTAAACAAGCAATTAGTTTGAAACAACTTTCAAAACATAGAAAAAAAACAAGAAATGAAGGAGGTTGCAGAGGTGATTAGGGATGAATACAACTATGGAAAGCAAGAAATAAATACTATTAACTCAAATAGGTTGGTGGCTAAGGCCTAAACCACCAAACCTATGAGGACCATTACACTACAAGCCTACAATATAAAGCATACATAAAAAACGGTCCTAAAATAGTCTAGAACAATGCTGGAATTGAAACCAAAAAAGTTAAAAGAGTAAGCTACAACATAGAGGAAGTTAAGCTAGTAAGCAAACACAAGGAGGGAAGGCTACCCCCTCAATTTTTGAGATTTCAAAACATGATTTTAGCCTCTGAAAAACCTCTAAAATTCAATAGTAAAAATTTCAAAAAAAGATAATAGAAAGGTGGAAAACACAAGGGCAAAGGCTTAAGAAGTTAGGTGTAAAGAAGGGTGATCCACCCCTCCACTCTTAATGGCCTTAGACCACAAGTTTCAGCCCAGAAATTCAGTGTCAAAAATAGTCCAAAAAGCAGTAGAAAAGATGGCAAATAAAGACGGGAAACAAGTTAAGAATTATATCTCTTGAAGAGGGGTACCATCTTTGAGTTACAAACCAAAACCTCAGCACAAATACTACAATGTTTGGTTTAGAGTGTATAGGCAAGGAATGAAGAACTTGCAAGAGAGATAGAGAATTGTAGAGAGAGAAATATTTTTGCTCCTAAATTTTCCTAACCTTTTAAAATGTGAGA